ACACTGTAAACTGGCCGCATGCAACAGACTAATATTATGAAATTCTTACAGCTTGCCTCTTAGAAAATATCTGGCCATTATGTGTTCAGTTGCTGGAACATCCTTTGCTACAAATAAACCTAAAGGAAGCTGTGAGAGCAAATTGGATTGCATCGCTCTAATCTCACTAAACTTTTCAAATTTTGTTTTATTTTTATGTTTATCTACAAGAATGGTGTGGTCCTTTCCGCTCTTAATGGTAGTATAAAGGAGCAAGTGCGCCATTTTTGGGAGGATTTTGGGGGGGGGGGCTTACGAAAATACATACTGACCGCTATAACCGACATAAGTTGATGTTCCGCGTTTCAGCATCTTACGCAACAATTGTTGGTGTCACCAAATAATGCTACAAATGGCGCCTGCCAAGACGAGCAGGTATGGCAATTTTTCAGGTAGAACGGGAAAATGATAAGAATTGTATAGCTTGGAAAACAGACCTTGTGTAGTAACGCCATCAGAAATTCCTAGCAGATGAAGTAATCGAATATCTTTCTAGATGCAGTGTGTGATGAACATGACTGATGCTCTATTCATTGCTCTATTCATTATTCTCTTGTTTTAATATTCCATATGCTGTACATAATCGCCAATTCGAATACATACGTGCTGGTTACCACTCTTCGCTGAATTCTGGATTTCTAGTTTGTCGGGTTATACCGATATACGTACGAAACTTAATTCCCACACAGTGCTACTTTGTTGCTTCAGAAAGAATGTCAGAATGATGCTAGATGTTCTTTCACTAAGGAGATTTGTGCGCTGTGATCTTAGGAATGCACAGAATAGGACAGTAGAGAGTACATACTGACGAGACCCAAAAGCATTGAGAACTTGAATCCGTTATAAAGCCCAAGGTAGCGTTTACCTCTTAAAACCCTAGCAAAAACGTAGTTTGTGTTCTTTGATCCAGAAACAATGAGGATGACGTTCTTTCTGCTGCCCTTGGTGCTGAAGGCGACAACATATAGCAAGTTTTTAGAACAAATGTGTTAAAGTGAAGGGCCTCTGATATGCTGACAGCTGTGGGATGAAGAGCTTCAAACAACAAAGGGAGTATGTTAGGGCATACAGAGAAGCAAATAAAAAAGAACAAGATGTAACCAAAACTGAGTAACATTGAGGACCCCGCAAACGGCTGGCAAATGTTCATCGAATCTTGAAGGCATTTGTGGTTGAGGAAAACATGGACAGTCAGAATTCATTGCGACACCTGATGTGCAAAAATTTGCTGCCACCCAAACTTTTGAAGATAAAGTTTGAAAGATTTTTGTGAGATTGTCTAATTAGATGCCCTGTATATGGATAATAAGGACGCGGTTTTGAGAACTGGGAGGATATTTAGAAGTAAGGGTGAAATACTGACGTATCTTCCAGCACCCAAAAAACGAGAACAAAGGCTGGATCATCCTTCACTCGCCAAATTTTAAGTTCACCAAATTATCTCTTCTCTATAGTAATCTGTAATCTCTCATCTTTGTTGTCTCTAAAAATAGGTGAGAAGAATTTGAGAACACTACTCTTAAACAAGACAGACATACGTCAAGCACAAAAGATTAAAAACCATCAGTGGACTCGGGGCAAAGTTGCAGCGGACTGTAGTACGAACTCGTATCGTTTCTTAACTGCTTCCTCGACAAGAAAAGAATAGAGCATATCCTGAAACTACATGCATACTATCTTCACGCCTTTAACCTGACGTTTGTAATGGGTGAAGTGTGGTTTGAGAGAACAGCAGAGGTGTTATACTGTGATAACCAAGGAAGTCTAAATAGGATAACCAGCAACGGTTAAAGGAAATTCATAGTGAGTCGAACAACATCTTACTTCACCTGCCTTTCCATGTATAGTAAACTATGCTAACTACAACAACTAAGTTTCAGGACCAACTGCAAACATGGGAGCGTCCGAGGATGGGGTGTCTCATAGTTTACAGTCGACAAGTTCGACTGGATTGTAAATCAACAAATTCGGTATTGATTCCAAGTTTGAAGGTCTATTGGATATCCAACAGTGGCTCCTCCAGTACCGTTTTCCCTCCTAATCGTTATAAGATCACCAAGTGCTTCATCGACATTAAACAGATTCGAAAAAGTTCAGTCGTCCTCCATTTTTGCCCCATCTGGATAGTGAACTGGAGTTACGGTGACTTTGTGCAGATTTTGGAAGTTAATACTCCAGAACAACGTCTGGAGACCACTGGTGACATATCAACCCGACAAAAAGGATTTCAGAAGTCATTAATTCTTTCACAAAAAAACGAAGCTACTTTGACCACTTAGACTCCAAAAAACATACAACCAGCTTGAACGCAAACTTACATCGATCATTTTGTCCTTTTGAACTTCGAAGGTGTTGTCGTTCCTTATAAATATCGCACATCTGTCATGGATTGAATCTTTGATTTCATCTGTCACACGGATAGAGAATTTTGTGGGCTGGTTAATTCGTCCCTGATTTGCAAACCGTTCATCTGGTTCTGGACTAGTGTTATGGGGTCCACTTAGAATACATACCAAGTAATGGTGAATTAGAAGTGATGAAGATAACTTTGGATCCATTGGCTCGCAAAAAATTCAGAATCAGTTCGTCCTATATAGAATTAGGTAATTATTGATGATAATTGAACATAAGGGACACACCTCTGCATTGATAATAACTGTATCAGTTAGTAGATTTTTATCAATCTTGAAAAACTGGGAAACCTTGTCGAATATATAGTCAAATCTTGCATCAAGTGAGGACCTTCTGGCATTCAATTCTTGCATTCTCTTGAACTGTACAAAAACATTTCACTATCGCATATGGTCATACTTGACGTTCCTTCGATAATTCCGATAATTCCGCGTTAGCACCTCGGCTAACCCTGCGTCTCATTGTTGATTCTGACATCACGTTTTGCTTCAGAGCCCAGTTTCGTAAATGTACTCGATTTTTTGTTTACTGTGGAAAAAATCATTGACCCATTATAACTTCGCTCCAGTTCGAATAGAGGAACGGCGATAACCGATATTGAAGGTTCCCAACTGATAGATTCGTTTTGCGTGATAATGTGCCGCGTACATATGTCTCGTAGCAAACCTTATGGAACATTTCTAGTTCACAAAATTCACGCTTAATGTGGCTACGAAAGCGCTAGCACTGTATCAGCATGTGCCCGGACCGCATCCAGTATCGCCATTTTACGGATGATCCGACGCGCCTTCTCCCGTATCACTCGCATAGACTTCCAAATACTCTATGGGGTCTACGTCAGACCACTCCTGGATTACACCAACCAAGTTGTCTACTTAGGACGCACGAAAGACCTCACCTTCATTGAGCGTGTCCAGCGGGCCACTACGAGAACAGTTGCCGGCCTCAAATCCGTGGACTACGAAACGCGTCTCGCGATGCATGATCTTTTTCCCCTGGAGTACCGCCGCCTCTGAGGGACCTAATTCTTACTTACGCCCTGTTTGAACATAGTAAGAAAGTTTTCAAGCTCAGAGCACACACATCCATTAGACAAAATTTTTCTTATTCCGGGTAGTAGCTGAATGGAATGACGTTCCTCCGACGGTTGTCCACGCTCCTTCTAGAACCCAGTTTAAAGCCATATTAGACATTCATTTATGCGAATCCTCGCGCTGGCAAGCATACTGCCCCGCGCTGAGAACATAAAGAGCAGTGCTACACCCTTTTTTCACTTCTGCCCTTACAGTGAACGAAAGCCACTGACCGACAAGGACGAAACCGACCCGAGAAACTTGGGTAATATCCTCGATGCTGTGTATCCATCCGTGAATTCGTGAATCGAATCTTTTTCCAATGAAGTTTGGAGACAACCGAACTGAAATTCAGACGGAAAGCGCTTCTTACGCCAGAAACGCATCTGGAGTGACTGTAGGAATACTGTAACCAAAGTGAATTTGGGTGCTCCAAAACTGATTGTAACCCTATAATTTTGAGTAAAAAATAGGGGGATCCAGGGTGGCTAAATCAAAATTGTTACCCGGTAGATCGCAGTTAATTCGATATGTACTATATCGGTTAAACAAAACTTGACTACCCAAGTGTGTCTGGTAGGAATGTCTGGAGATGAAAGTCGGCAAACCTGTGACACCATGACCCTTAGCACGTTGGTGAACAATGCATATTACTCCTGCCACATTTGCCATTGTAGCGATTGCGCAAGTAGGTGAATAAATGTGTCACGGAGCGCTTTTGTGCCCTCATCCTCTGACGATTTAACAACAATTATGACATCTGCACCTACCCTGGAAAACCGGGATTCAAAATTGTTTTCATTCATCAAAGTTTCCACATCAGCGTAAGACAGGTGCGACAAATATGACTCGCGCCTTGAAGTGAAAACCCACTGCTTTCTCATTCAGAACATTAGAAATTTTGAACAATGAGTTAATTTATTATTTACTCCACCAGAGTAGAATCAACGAAAGGCTCTTAATCAGGGACAAACATTTTAGGCAGGATAATCATCAACGGCCGCAGCATTCGTGTTAATCAGTTCGTGATCGCTGATGACGCTTTCGCCTTGATACCCAGTACGTCTCAGTTGAGGGTTCCTCAGCAAAGCCCTCAATGAATCCATATCATGTTCATGGCCGTTATCAGTCAACTGATCAGGCTACTGAGCTACTGCTTCGTAATCTGTCGAGCCTAGTACAAAGATTCCCACCGAACTTCATTTTTCATCATTTGAACGTGACTGGTTATTTACCTGTCCATTAGTGACGCTGTTGCGGTATTGATTGCCGCATCAGAGAGCTTAATGATATTCTGGGCGTCCAAAGGACCTGGAGTACACAGCCTTAGATGCTCGTTTTAAGGGAAATTTTCGATGTCTCTTTCCGTCTAGGGTTCACGCTTCAGGCAGCCATCTTCGCTGTGCAGTTTTTGAGCTACGTTCATGATATCCTCAACGCAACACGGATTGTCTTCAAACCTTTCACGTGTAGCGAACATTCTCCAACACCTGGAATCCTTACACAAACCAGCTATGAAGGGCTCATGTTGACCCATTTGGACTCATCAACACCTCACATCGAGCGCCACGTTTCCGGATATCTCAGAAGCTTTCAGTTGGCCTCCACGGGTTCCACTACTATATGGCCCACAGTCTTATAGAAATGAGCGAGGAAGCCGGTGATGAAATAAGGCTCTCCCCTCATTAGGAACATTCCCATTTAAAACCGGATGATTGTACTGTTCCTCTGCTTCAGCCTCCATAGATGTTCCTTAATGCTATGTCTAAGGGGCCACAAACTATCTGACCCACGTCGACTTTTAATGGGTGTCCTTGGAGTGCGGGCTTCTGAATGCTTTGTGATGCCTTGGCAGACCGTTCCCTGAATACGCCATCCAAGTCATTCATTCAGGAAGCAAGAAGAATGTAGCCCTGATTGAGCGTGCCTTACGAGCTGCTGCGAAGGTGGTTCCCTGCCTCAAAGCCGTTGCGCATGAAACGTGTCAATATATCCATGACCTCCTTACCGCATAATGTTATGAACCAAGAGAGGATCTAATAATTGCTTACGTCTTGTTCGACCGAGGTGGTGATGGTAGGCATTTTGGAGCTGACTACATTGATACATAACAGAAACATGGAAAAAAGCCTTTCAACACTGGAGCGAGGACCTTTACCGGACAACTCTTCTTACTTTGAATGATTGGTGCGCAGAATATTACTGTTGTTATTACTACATTATTATTATTTCGCATCTAGGACCCAGTTTGCATAATTTTTGCATGATTTTTAAGTGAGTCCGCCCGCTGTCAATTCTACTGCGCCGAGAACTCAGAGGGGGATGCCACACACTTTGTTCACCTTTGACTTCCAAGTCAGCGGAAGCCGCCTAACGACAAGAAAAATCTCAGCCCAGGGATCCTGCGCAAAAGCATTGCGCGGTGTACCCGAAAATGGCTTCGATTTTCACTAGCACAAATATTTCTAAAAATTCTCCCGCCGCATAATCTATTTACGGGGATTAAGCGCGTCCTTTTGTCGAAATTTTTACTCCAAAACAACTTTTGCCTGAAAACCTGGGCCTAATTGCACTCATTTTTATGCAGTGCACCCCGTCTCAATCACGCGCCCGATCAACACAGGTTGCTCTCCACAAGGATTGATGAACCACCACGGAAGTGGTTAAATTGGATTCACAACGTAAAGTGCAACGTCAAAACTGCGCGGCCCTGTAGTGTATCGGTCTCTTCTTGCTACTTCTACCAGCTCCGCTGAATTTGTCTAGTACATCCGTTCCCACTAGATCATGTGGCCACTTTGCTCATCAAACGCATGGTGCAGGTCGCCGCTCTTATTAGTGCAGATCCTCTGAATTATATTAGGGTTTTCATCAACTGTGCACTGATAGTGTCGCTTTAAATGTACATTTTTACAAAACGATATCAGAGGCCAGTTGTGCAACTCTGCCGACGCGTTTGTTTGCGCCAGCCGCCTCCATCTCTACCGCTATGCATTCCGCAACTGACACGAGAGCTACCAGAAACGAAACCAAGTCCCCGCAGCTGAATTGGAAAGACTAGTGGTAATTTTCCGTTTTATTCGGGACGCTCGACAAAAACTGGCGCCTTTTAGCGAGGCCCTCGAAGGAGCCAAACAAAGCGGCCTGGGCGAAGGTCAGTAATGAACTTTCATCCCTGAACGAGTACTAGCAGTATTCATCCCTCATCTGCTTGCCGTAAAAAAGGTCATCCCGCTCTCCGATAAGGCAACCAAGACTGCCGCAGCATCTCTATTGGATAGGCGCATGAGGCAGGGCAGGCTGATATTTTGTGCGTCGTTCTCCAGAAAAATTACGCTCACGAAAATGGCCCAGTCGCCCCTTGGTGGTGTCCTCACAAAGCCTGAGCACGAATCACTACACGCGGAGTGGTAACGCGGAAAGAGAAGCAAGCGGAACGCTGGGTTTTAGTCAGCCATCTCTCTCCATCTGTAGTACATAGAATCTTGGTTTGGCTGCAAGCGTTCAAAGGGCCCATAATAAACGAAGCGAATAGCTGGAAATCGCCATTTAGAGGAGCGAAAGCTTGGCCACAGAACTACTTGTATATAGGCGAAAAACAGGCTTCCATTTGGCACAAGTTCACCCGAATCCAACCTTTTAGCCAGCCCGATGGTGGCTATGGCTACTTATACCCTGGAAAACGCGCCGACTCAACCGGCCACGGATCCGAATGGCACCGTCCACCCAACCACCGCATAACCCTCGACTACCGAAGGCATCGATGCTCGAGGCGAACCTGGCGTTAACGCAGTATCCGAAGTAAGTAGAGCTACGTAGAGCTAAACCAACCCTGGAGACTTGAGTGAAAGACTCGATCCTATGCACGAATCTGTGAGTCCGGGTATCAGTCCTTGAATCAGTGACCTTGGCGGCGCGCGTTAGGATTTTTGAGGTAAGCCGTTTTGCTTTCAGAGCGATCACGCGACTTGCGGCGTCATCCCCATTCTGATTGGTTAAAATCTATATGGCGGGAACATTAAAAAATGACAACATGGAGGATTTGTGGCTTATGATTGACCCTCTCAATCGAA